CAAAATTACTCTCTGGTCTATGTTATAAATGTGTACAATTTCAAATATTTATCACCAAAGGTAAGCCCACTGCTATAGAATAAAGGAAACAGCAAGGACTTATGGCTAACATGCTAAAAGCAGGTACAATTTATTTACTTGCATTTAAGCACCTTTTCCTTGCAGAAAAACCAACTTGAAAGTGCAGTTGGAAAAATTCAGTTCTTTCTTTTGATGCTATCTTTGGCATCTTCTGATACCATCTTTGGCGTGGAGGTGGGGTGGGGTGGGATGAAGAAAGCAGGCAAGGTAGATAGAGAAAGAATTATATATGGTTGTGATCACTCACAGGATTTTGCCAGTGAGATTAGGCAAGTAGTTGAAACTTTATTTTGGTAAAAGGAAGAAAGGAGCCTTCAGTAAGAACCTTCTTGTTGATATGGCTGTTCTCACTCAGTCTCTCATGATGAAGGGGTCCATTTACTCTATAGTCATCTCCCAGCACACTTTCATGTCTTTACTTTTGATTTCAACAACTATTTTTACTTTCCACACACACACACACACACACACACACAAATTAACAAAGAGACGCCTCACCAGAAGTGTCTGGTATTCAACAGGAGAGATAAAAAACGGTATTTAATTACAAATAAGTAGCCAAATGCTTTAAAAAGCACATCTTTTTGTTTTCTTCATGAAATTTCTTTGAAAAGCCCTCTAAATACCTTTCAGCTATTTTCCCCCATGCCTTGATTTTGTCCATCTGTCCTACCATTCAGAAGGCACAGTCACAGAATGAAAATTAATTGAAGACATCCTCTTCTGTTTCCACTCCAGCTCTTATTATTCTTCAAATACTAACCATTAAAAACACTTACCAGAGCTCAGTTGAGTAAGTAGAAAAATGACATTTTCCATTTACTTTCCATTATGGTCCACCATGCACATGGGTCTCCTAGAAGGACAGTGCTGGGAAGCACTTTGTAGTCCCTGCCCTCCCCCCATTCAGCAGGAGCAGGGATGCAACAACTACATTCATCTAATTTGCATTTATCCAAAGCCATGCTCTAAGGAGAGAGAAACTACAGGCATCTGGCAACCAGATCAGAATGATCTTATGAACACTGATGGGACAACTACTGATATAAGGTGATTGACACCTTATACTAAATCCTGTTAATGTTGACAGTACCTGCCTTGGGTTTTTGTTGAAGTTCATTAGACAAGGTGGTGATAACAGCTGTAGAAGAAGGAATACTTTAAAAACCTGCACATACTGAATGCCCGCTGCTAAGCAAAGAAAGAGTGAAATCAACTCCTTTGGAAAAAATAATTTTGTGTTTGGAGAGGAGGCAGGAGGGTGCTGTGGGCACACACCACTTCTCTGGAGACAGTTTCACAAATGCCATCAGCCTTTACTACATGCGATCTTTCCAGTACAAATCTTTACACCTCTACATTCAGCTGTCTGATGAATTGTAAAGACACCCTCAAAAGGACAAAATACTTGAACGAAGTGAAAGCTGGGAGTAAAACAGTATGTATTGTAGTGACATGAACAAAACAAAAATCAAACACCACTAACATTACTTGCTTGTTCTAGACAGACATACAGCCTCAAATTAGCTCCTTTAAAAATATACACATGGTATTTGTTTGGTATATTATAGATTGACAAGTGCATATGTTATAATAGGTAAATATTAGTTTCAGAGAAAAAAGTCATGCCCATTTTGTAGGTCAGTCAATTCATGCTTTAACCTCCAAAGGCATAGCTGAGAAAAACTCCCTTTTAGAATGAAAGCAAGTGACACCCCCCAGATTATTACACACTTGGTCCTGGGAATACCATGTGCTTTGTCTATAATGAATTATACATGCTCAGTACTGAGTTTACCTGTAGACAAAATTTGCTATTCATAGAAAACTTCCAAGTGAGTGGAACCAGAATTTGTTTTTCTCAGGTAATTCTATTTTCATCATTTTCTTTTACCTGTCATTCAGGCAAAAGGAAAAGATGGAGCTCATTCTCAATCTAGATAACAAAATGACTTTCCTGCTATAGATTTTACTTTCCTCTACAACAAAACCAGGGCTTATTTCTGAAGCACAGAGTCCTGAATGTCCCTGCAAGGAAGACAGTTTATCTAATAACTAAGGGTACTCAGTTTTAAGTGGTGGGAAATGAGCCGCTGTGTAGCCAAAGTACTTAAAAGATAAAATATCTGTGACTTGAGGACTGCATTGCTTTGGAGTTTTCTGGCATTTTAAAGGTACTGATGAGCCATTCTTTAATCTCCAACGGGTGAAGGGAGATCTTGCCACACAGCCCATTTTCTCTGCCAGGTCCCAAGCTGTTTACAACTTTCTGTGATGGAGCTAAAGTTGACTTCATTGATAGTTACAGCTGGATAATAGTAATCAGATGTCCCGTTTGAACAACAAGACAGGAGGAGAGAAGTTATTGTAAACAGATCTCTCTCGCTCCCTCTCTCTCTCTCAAGATGCTCCAAATCTCTCAAGCTTAAAAGTCTGGGGCAAACTAAAAAATTTCACACTTGATGATGGCATTTTTCTTCAAGTCATGAAAATGTATTACTTGGTTGTAGCCACAAGCTAACAAAATGTAATACTATTTAACAGTATACTACCGGAAAAAATAAAAAAAAAAAAAAGCTATTGAACAAGTGGCTTTTTGCCAAGTGGAAGCACTAATTCTGAGCAACACTCATTTGCAGTGGGGACAGTCTTTGCCTGTTCCTCTGGATTCATGCGACTTTGACTTCACTGTGTGTGGAAACTCTGCCACTGGAGCTGAAACTTTAACACAGAGTGAAGATTGTATGAAAAATACATCATATCATAGGAATCCAGTATCATGGGACAATGCAAGGCACCAAGGCCTGGGGTCAAGAACCAAAGTATGCAGTTGGCTTGCTGTTTATGACAGCCTGTGCAGTCTCAGACATGCTCCTGTATCTGTCCGCTTTTTTTTTTTTTTTTTTTTTTTGAGACAGGGTCTCACTCTGTCGCGCAGGCTGGAGCACAGTGGCATGATCTTGGTTCACTGCAGCCTCAACCTCCCCAGGCTCAGGTGATCTTCCCATCTAAGCCTTCCAAGTGGCTAAGAATACGGGCATGCACCACCACGCCTGGCTAATTTTTGTATTTTTGGAGGGGTACATGTGGGGTTTTGCCATGTTGCCCAGGCTGGTCTCAAACTCCTGCGTTCTAGCGATCTGCCCACATTGGCCTCTCAACATGCTGGGATTACAGGCATAAGCCACCATGCCCAGCCCATCTGACTTCATTCTATCAACGAGGAAACTCAGGGGGTTGACCTCTAAAAGATTCTCTTCTACTCTAAGCTTCTACACTTGTCTTTTCCATCGTGCAAAGAAAGAAGGTGAAGGCTTAACAAAAATAGAAACTCAAACTCTTCTTATCCTTAGTGCAATTCTGACAGGCACAGAACGTACAGACACACAGCCCAGCCAAAGTGCTGCAGTGCAACCCTGAATTGTTAGCAGAGCTAGAGAACAGGTTTCATCTGAGCCAAGATGAGATTGTAGAAAGTCCCTTCTAGTTTAACAGGCTAAGGTTTCCACTGATTCTCAGAAACCCCTAAAGGTCAGGTCTGTGCATGCAGCATAATCTCCAGCCTGGCTGTTGCTCTGCTGGGCTGGCTGAGTACTTTCCCTTCTCCTGCAGGATGCCCCGGGCAGGTGGCACTGCTCTCTTCCTTACACACCATCAGTGGCCCCCTGACAACAGCCTCAGCCAGTATTTAATGTTCTCCTTCTTCTGCTTCTTTCAGGTTTTTGTCTCACTGTCCCCTTGCAGTATAGCAGAACGAATATGAGTGATGGGCTCACGGAAACATGTTTTCCAATCCTAGCTCTTCCACTTACCAGTAGAGTAACTCTGGAGAAGTTACCTAACTACGATGGGTCTCAGTCTCCCCATCTGTAAAATGGGAATAAGATGAGCTACCTTGCAGGAATTCTTAGGGAGAGCAAATGAGATTGTACATAAATCCCCCAGCCTCCATAGAGTAGGTGCCTGTTTCTCAGTTTCTTCCTTTCCCACTTCACTGTTCCTTTGTTTTTTTTTTTTTTTCTTGAGACAGAGTCTTGCTCTGTTGCCCAGGCTGGAGTGCAGTGGCACAACCTTGGCTCACTGCAATCTCTGTCTCCAGGGTTCAAACAACTCTCCTGTCTCAGTCTCCTGAGTAGCTGGGATTACAGGCGTCCACAACAATGCCCAGCTAATTTTTCTATTTTTAGTGGAGACGGGGTTTCACCATGTTGGCCACGGTGGTCTTGAACTCTTGATCTCAAGTGATCCACCTGCCTCCGCCTCCCAAAGTGCTGGGATTACAGGCGTGAGCCACTGCACTCGGCCTCACTCTTCCTTTCTTGAGTGAAACCACTCCCTACCCAAGCACTGCCTTTCTCGGCTGCACACTTCACATCTCCTCATGGGGTCTGCCACTTTCTCCTCATCCCCTCATGGTCAAATCTCAGCCAGCCTCTAAAAATCAACTCCAAGACCGCATCTCCCAGGAAGCGACCCTGGAGGCCTTTTCCTCATCGGATATTCCAAGGAGCGTGGCCTTTGCGATCCGTAGCCTGGGATGGGTTTCTGTACCACCCTTATAATTATTTATCTGTCTTTCCTCACCTATGAGCCTGGATCTGCTACATTCAACCCAGTTCTACACCTGGGTGCTCAGCAGATACTTGTGCAGTGAACAAACGTGGCAACACAGGACCAAAAGGCAGCTTCTGATGTGCTTGCTTTACAGACACAAAGCTTTAGCTGCTGCTCTGAATGAAAACATCCATCCAAGAAGACAACGGCCAGAGTCAGTGTGAGAGGCGCTCGTGGTGTGAGAAAAGCATCTGCTTTCTGCAGGAGCCGAAGAAGTTATGTGAGAAAAGCAGCCCGGGGGAAAAGCAACAGAAGCCTGGGCCCAGGACAGTGGCTTTGAGCCCCAGCCTAGACACAGCGCCAACCTGCAGAGACGGAGACCGTCCTGTGCGTCGAATCAGACTTTTGGGATAAAAGAAATCGGATGAAGAACGCCGAATGTTTGGCAGCTGCCATGAAACATGAGAAAAGGGAAGAATGAACATAGAAATAGCCTCAAATGAGAAGTATTATTAAAAAAAAAGAACAACACCTTAGGGAAAACTAACTTGATAGTAAACATAAAGTGGGATCCTTTCATTGATGTACATGTGGATTTTTTGGGTCAATTTTTGGGCCCATGTTTAAAAGCATATTAAATGGTCTTCAAGTTACAGTATATTTATCTAAGCTCCAACCCCTTTCAATTCCTCTCCATCTATTTTGGCTTAGACATTCTTATAATATATAAAGGGTAAGAAGCCAGTGAAGCCAATTGAGAGGCATTCTTGAGAATCTGTTGTTACAAATGCCCCATGAGTTCTTAAATATCAAAAATGTGGATTACTCAGTGGGGTTGCTGAAAGATTCTTAAAACATTTTCATTTTGCTGTGGAAACTGCACTAATGTGAAAAGTGAAAGGCCTGGAAATCTTGGCTCAAGATTTGTGATGTGTAGACACACCCTTAAGAAAGCACAAGATGCATTTCTCTGTTCAAAACCTATTCCCTTTAACCCCCCCCAACATCAGTGTGAACCCCGGCTCTGGGCACATGGGGGCCTCTTCCTCACTTCCCGGCTTTCCAAAGACAGTGACCCAGAGCCCTCTCCCGACCTCCCAAGTAGTGAACGCTGGGTTTAGGAGAAGAGCTTTAGAATTCTCTGGAAGGTTTACTAAAGGGAGAAAACAAGAGCTCCTCTTGGCCAGAATGGGTGGAAGTATTTCACTAGTTGTTTTCATAAGCTTATCCAGAGAGCTTTCCATCAAGATGTAATCAGAGTATTGTTGTTTTTTAAAAATCATTTTAGTCACATGATCTGCAAGCTCAAGCAATCCTGATACAGAAAAGACCCACATTCCACTCAGTCTGGCCTCATTAGCATTCCTCTCTTCATCTCCCAAAAGACTTCATCAGAGATGAAGTTAAAATGATTACTAAAAAACCCAAAAGCAACACTAGAGAGAGAGTACAAACTACTATAGCTACTTGGGTGGTTTCTGGGCAGCATCCTCAAGCTATGCTGTGAACTTTACATTCTTATGATAAAAGTCACAATAAGGATGATCATTTATGTTCTCATACTTCATTAAAGGTAACTCATTTCCAAAGCATCCATAGTTTCTCAAAAATCCCAGAGTGTAGAGCCCACAACCGGGTGACTATGCCTGAGTGTGACTATCCGGCTGATGGACTTCAGGAGTCTGTGTGCCAAAACAGAGAGCGAAACCACCCTAAGTTTGGTGGGCAAATTCCTCTTCAGCTGTTCTTACCTTTATTCAGTTATTCAGAGAAAAAGTGTTTCCCCCCCCCTGCCCTCTCAACTTAAGTATGTTCACAATAATTTTGCATTCTAAAAGCACTGTGTTTGTTCAGGGTCACAGCGAAGGGACAAATTCCTAAAATATTCAAATGGTAAAATGTCTCCATCTGATTGATGGATGTGAATTGAGAAGGAAAAGAAAAAACAAAAAACAGAGGAAAAATAGCTCCTGTGCATACGTGTGGTTCATTCAGAGAATAAAGCAAACACACTAGGAAAATAAGAGCTGTAATTCCCAAGGCAGCAGGCAAAGGGATCTGAAAAAAGGCAGAGCGAGTGGGTCTCGCTGATAATCACTGCTCCAAAGCCAAGTCACCCCTTCACAAGTCACACATCAGTGACTAGACCCCATCAATAAACTGGCCGTGCTGCCGCTGGGGATTACATACATAGCTTCTGATGCCTGCTAATGGCAGATCGAGAAGAGGTTATACTACGCACTAGAGGCTGGCCTCCAAAATAAATCCAGGCCATTCTTTTCCCTGAGACAGTAAACAGGGTGCAGTCAAACTCCAGTTTTTCTATGGGTACCACTAAGTTAGGTTCTGGGCAGCATCCTCAAGCTATGCTGTGAACTTTACATTCTTATGATAAAAGTCACAATAAGGATGATCATTTATGTTCTCATATTTTATTAAAGGTAACTCATTTCCAAAGCATCCATAGTTTCTCAAAAATCCCAGAGTGTAGAGCCCACAACTGGGTGACTATGCCTGTGTGTGACTATCTGGCTGATGGACTTCAGGAGTCTGTGTGTCAAAAACAGAGAGCGAAACCACCCTAAGTTTGGTGGGCAAATTCCTCCTCAGCTGTTCTTACCTTTATTCAGTTATTCACAGAAAAAGTGTTTCCATGGGTACCACAGTTTTCTATGGGTACCACTAAGTTAAGTTAGGTTAACCCAAGGCACTGGGATTCATTCAGTCTGATTATTGCACTGAAAAATACTTTCTAGCCCACATGAAAAATGGGGCATCTGAACAGGATAGAGATTATGATCATGGTTTTACAACTGTGTACAGCGCTTTGCTTCCGAAACATAAAATACTGTCATCTGGAGGTGTTCTGAGAATTGATTAATTTACCTATCTTGGTTTGCTATTATTTTCCCCATAGGTTTTATCTGACAAGCCATCAGCTTTTAGAGTCTACTCTGGTGAATTTGGATTCAGTAAAATGAGAGACCAGTAAAATGTACTAATGTAGAGCTGGGGTCAGAGTAGTGCATTATAGACTAAGCACCAAAACAGTCTGGTGAGGTCAGCAGATGCTGCACCAGGAACCTGATGAGTCATTGTTTTCCCATCTGCATGATTTGACTTTTCCCTTGAATGCTTTTCTAAGAAGCTGACTAGTGAGGCCAAGGCTTACTTTGTCTAACACAAGCATTTGGAACAAAAACCACAGTACATTTAAGGTAAGAGGGGACCCCTTTCCCTAGCCAAATGGCCTTTGAACTTAGTTTGCTATAAGGGAAAAAGTCAGTAAAAAGTAATTTCACCTAAACCCTAACCCCAAGAATTAGTGACCATGAGCGTATGGCCTACAAATGCAGCTGGCGTCATGTTTTAATTGTGTTCTTACCCGCAGCTTTTCCTCGGTCTTCGTAGATTGCTTACAGTCGGGATGCCAAACGGTGGAACCTGAGAAGACAGAATGCACTGCTAAGAGCCAGGAAAATGGAAAGATACAAAGTCCTCTTAGACAGCACTTCTGAGAATGGCTCCTATCCCTCTTTCCCCATCATAGGAAGGTGTTATTGGTTTATGTCCAAGTAAGTCATAACACAAAAATCAGACATGTCCAAAGTCTAAGCAAGTTTTCCTGATCTAGCCCAAGCTTGTTTGATAAAGATCGTAATTCTAGACCACAGAGACCACTAACTGGGCATGAGTCTTTTGATGCAAGAGATATTTAGTTCTTAATCGTGTCTTGTTATTGTTAAACCTTATATCGTCCTTTAAAAGGAATGCCTGAGTGCTTACTACAAGTTGCATTTAATTTAAAAAATAGTAGGCATTGTTTATCTAACATCAAAACAACCAAGCAGTTTAGTTGAGGGGAATAAAGTCAACCAGATAGTCTATATCCAGAAGCAAAACTTACTGAATTTTTCATTGATTCAATTATACATAGTCACCTACACAGAAATGAGAACTTAAACCAACTAGCAGAAAGGGTGAAAGTTAAATTATAAATCCAAAAATTTCCTTTGGCCTTGAACCTTTTAAGTAATTTTCTAAAAAGTCTCCGCTTTTAAAGTAGTAAAGTAACTATTTAGGTGTTATTTTCTGTTCCTGAGTCAACAGTCTCACTTTCTTGTATTATGAAGCAATTTAATGTATGGTACCAGCATCACAGAATTAAACAAAACACTTATCTCCAATAGAAGCTCTTATCTTGTAAGAATCCAATGCCTCCTCATATGATTTTGTATGACTAGATACATACAAAATATGTCATCTATATGATTATGGGTAAGGTTGATATGTTCATGTAAGGACACATTCAAGTGTGGGGATGGACAGAACTTAAATGAGCACTTAAGAAGACTTAAGAAAATAAAGTTACTATGTTGAAAGCAAAAATTACATAAATAAAATTCACAGTATGAATATCAGAGTTTCCAAGTTTCATGATTTAAATCTGTACCTTGTTTTTTTTTTCTTTTGAGATAGAGTCTCACTCTGTCTCCCAGGCTGGAGTATAAGTGGCACAATCTCAGCTCACTACAACCTCCGCCTCCCAGGTTCAAGCGATTCCCCTGCCTCAGCCTCCCAAGTAGCTGGGATTACAGGCACGCACCACCATGCCCAGCTGATTTTTATACTTTTAGTAAAGACGGGTTTTCACCATGTTGGCCAGGCTCTTTGGAACTCCTGACCTCAAGTGATCCACCCACCTCGGCCTCCCAAAGTGTTGAGATTACAGGCGTGAGCCACCGCACCTGGCCAAAATCTTTATCTCTTTTAAGCAATAACCTGCGCATGCTTGAAAAGTCACCAAATTAAAATAACTCATGAGTTATTTCACACCACTGAGCTAAACTAATATTAAATTAATGGCAAGAAAAAATACATTTTGTATCAGCATAATACTTTAATCCTTATTTAACAATCATTTTTTCCATCTTCTTAACCCAGGGCCAAAATAAACAAACAAAAAAATCAAACAAAAAGCAGACAGACGTATAGGTCTCTTCAGCACTAACTCTGGCTCAAAGGCTGACTACAAAGCACAGGAAATCCTCTGAATGTGGAGGGCCCAGGGGTCAGGTGCAGGCTCAGGAGAAGCATTTGCTGTGAAGGTTCTGCTGAGCAGGAGTCACTGGCCAGGACACCGGGTCTGTGCACAATGGCACTATTGTTCTCCAGAGGTCAGGCACACAAGGAATGTGACTCGGACAGAACATCAGATGCTGAAGAAGATGAAACTGCTCTTTCTTCAAAGATGTGCCGAGAGGGCACGCAAAGGCTTCTGAAGCACAACTCAAGAAGGTTTAGAGCAATCCCTGGAATTCCAAATGCAGCCTTAACAGGTAGCCATTTATTCGTAGCCCGAATGTATTGTATTCGTGCACAGCTTGAAACCTTCTCTCTCCAGTCTCCAGAACCACTCTGAATTGCAAAGCTGCACCCGGAGCCTCTGAGTCTCTGTTTCCAGTAGAGACAGTGTTGATTGGCACTCCTGTGTCCTTGTTTTTGAGTGCTAGAATTGATAGGCTAAAATCTAAGCCCACAGACCAAATAAAGAATAAATCTGCTTTGTGCTGAGAAACGTACAGTGACACCTGCCTATTGCCACTGCAGATGTAAGGCCTGTTGTCTGTGGAAAATGTGTCATATAAATCCCGCGTGAGGCCACAGATGCGGGTGCTTGTCACTTGCCTTCATAAGGCTTTTCAAAATTCCGTGATGTTTTTAATCACAGTTTTTCAGAGTGATCACTCTAAAGCCAAAAAGAAGTTTGGGTTGTCAATTTCTCATGTAGCTAGCCTTTTTTAAGGGGAGAGTAGCCAGGCTTTGCTTTAATACTCAAGAATCCTTTCTGTAGATTTTTCTAAGTTGCCTAAAAACAAAACTGAGAGAGAAAAGCCAACCACTCATTACAAGTACACATCGTGCTATCTGCAAAGAGAAATCAAGAAATGACATGCACAGGTAGTTGAGACTCAGTAATTACCACAACGGAATGAGCAACAGCTCTTATGGGGTTTGCTAATTTTACTGATAAACCCTTGTTTGATTAATAACTCTTTTCCAGCTAAAAATAGTAAAATGCTTGCACAGATGGTGCTGTTTGACTAGAAGCGAATCCTCTCTTAAAGCCTCTCTGAGAAGTTCCAGAATTTCAGAGAACATAAAAACTGATCATGTATATGTGTGTGTGTGTGTCTCTGTGTGTGTGTGTGTGTGTGTGT